TACATGTATGTGAACACCGGTGTGTGAGTGTAGGTGCCCATGGAGGGGGGAGGCATCAGGTCTTCCCCAGAGCAGAATTTCCAGGAGTTACCCAAAGTAGGTGCCCCAACTGCAAAAGCATCAAATGCTTTTACCTACTGACTCACCTTTCTAGCCCCAGAAAAATGGAAAATATTCTTAGTTTCGCTCGTGTATTCTTAATTGCCAGTTGAACTGAATTTTTAAAAAAATTCAACCAACCTGTATTGGGCCAGTTTTTGAGGTATGGAATCAGAGGCTGAGACTCATAGCCAAACTTTGGGCAGAATGCAGGGAATCTTATGAAAGAAGGAGGAGATAGAAAGAGACCTGGAGGGGCCAGGTGCTCCAAAAGGAGACTGACAGAGCCATAAAAACTGAGCCCTTGGGGCCTGGAAGAGAATGATACCCCAACAAATGACAACGTTTAGAGAGGACCTAAAACCCCAGTTCAGATGTAGCCCATAGATTCAGTCTCCAAGTGGGGTCCCTACTAAGGGGAACAGGGACTGTCTCTGACATGAATTCAGTGGCTGGCTCTCTGATTGCCTCTCCCTGGGGGGTGCGGCCTTGCCAGGCCACAGTGGAAGATAATGTAGCCAGTCCTGTTAGGCTAGGGTCAGATGGAAGGGGAGGAAGATCTTTCCTATCAGTGGACTTGGAGAGGGACTTGGGAGGAAATGAGGGGGAAAAGTGGGATTGGGAGGAGATGTGGGAGGGGGCTACAGCTGGGATACAAAGTTAATAAACTGTGATAAATGATAATAATAATAAAAAATTCAACCAACCTGCTGTGGGCCAGTCTTCACAAATGAATGCCCTCATTAAAGTTGTTGTCCCTTTTGACACTAGCTACTTATTCATAGATTCTTGGCCGCCCTCACTTCTCATCAGCTGGTGGTAAATCCCAAAATATTTTCTGTCCCTCAGGGTGATAATTTACTATAACTTACCTACGGCCCAGGACATACAACATTCAACAAAGGAGCTTCATTCCCTACTTGTTGCTCTGACAATACTTGACAAATGTAGCTTACTGAGGGAAAGAAGAATTGTTTTCATGTATAGTTCAAGAAATAGAGTCTATTATGCCAAGGAAGTAGACGCACAAGACCAAAGGCCATATTGTGTCCAAAATCAAGAACAGACATCATAGTGTGACAGCTCAGTTCAATGTTGCCAATTTATATACACTCCAGGGCCCAGATCAGGGTTCTGTCCCTTCCCACCAATATGTAATTTTTCACAGACATGCTTCTGGATTTGTCTCCAAGGTGACTCCAGGTCTTGTCAAGTTTACAATCAACACAAGGCATCACGGGTACCGGCAGCACTCAGTGGGGAAAGGACAGGTGAGGCAACAATTCTGGGGAAACTGGCTGTTCAAAATTTATGTTGTATTCCATCTTATTCAGGCTTCTCTAAGAGGCAGGATTGATAGAAGGGACTAATATAATTTTATATACTAATGAGGGCTTTACTGGAATGGCTTACAGGCTGTGTTTAACAATTGCTGCCTCCTGATAGAAAGGCCAAGAATCAACAGTTGTTCAGTCCACAAGACTGTATGTCTCAGCAGTTCCAGTCTAGTGCTGGAGTCCCTGGCTGGTCCTAGAGTTTTCAGTTCCCATTGGAATAATGAAGAAGTAGATTGGCATCTTCAACACTCTTGCCAGCAAGAGTGAAGGCAAGCAGGGAGAAAGCCAAGCTATCTTCTTCAGTGTCCTGTGGGTTGCCACAAAGAGTTGTAGCTCAGACTTGGGGTGGGTCTCCTACCTCAGATAATACAATGTGGAAAAAAAAAATCCCTCACAGTTGCATCCCACTGCTTGGGTTTTAGTTATCTCTGAATGTGGTCAGGTTGACAACAAAGAGTAGTCGTTATGACTCTGAGACCACATGTACTTTTTCATCCACATTCATTAAAAACCTAAATGGAAGATTACAAACTATACAACACTGATTAAAAAATCATAGAAACAGATCTCTATGCCTTCGATCTCATAGGAACAGATGTCTATGCCAGTGATGTATCAGTTCTAACACACACAAGAACACACAAAGCAATATTAAACAAATGGAATTGTGTCTACCTTCCGAAAATTTGCTTTTCAAAAGGACGTAAGTAACAAAGTGAAAGGATAACCTACAGAAATGACAGAAAAAGGGTTTTCAAATCACATATTTTAATATATTTAGAATATACAAAGAGTTCCTTCAATCTATAATTCAACTCAAATAACCTGATTTTTTTTTAAATACTTGGATATGCAGCATTTCAAAGATGAGATGCATAAATGACTGAGGGAAAGTGAACATCACCAGTTGTCAGTGAAATGCAAATGAAAATAACAGTGAGACACCATTTTTATCTATCCTGATAATTACTATAAACGCGTCTAGGACGCAAAAGGTGTTGGGCAAGAGATGAGGCAGTTAGAAAGCTTGATCATTGGTGGTGGCATTGGAAAATGATGTGGTAAATGCAGGAAATGCTGTAACTGTTCAACAAATTAAAACTAGAACAATTACAGCAGCATCCATCTGCCCCATTTCTAAGTGAGCACCCAAAATAATTGAAGCCCGAATTGGAGAATAGAAAATGTTACCCTGTCCATGTTCACAGGCGCTTACTTCAAACTATCCAAAAGGTGAAACCAGCCTAAAAGTCTATCACCAGGTGTGTGGACAGGCAAAATGTGATAATCACTTAAAAACAATGGTAATTTCTTCAACATGGAAAAGAGAGAAAATCTTGTCACAAGGTAAACTTGTATAAACTTGGGGAACATTGTGCTGAATAAAATCAGCTAGTCACAAAAGAGGTGGCATTACCAAGTTCCATGAATATGCTTAAAAGTGATCAAATGCATATATTTAAAAAAAGGATGCATTGGTAGTTACCAGGGACTTGAGGAAGAGAAAGACAGAATTGTTAATTAAGTAGAGTTTCAGTTCTGCAAGATGGTGTGATTCTGAACATCTTTTCCATATCAGACTAACTGCACCTATAACTATTGAGGTTTATGTTTACAATGACAAAGGTGATATGTGGGGCTTTTAAACATCTTTGCTCACTGAAAATTTCATACATGTGTTGTACAATGTATTTCAACCATATGGATGCAACATCCTCCCTCCTGGATCCCATTGTCACAGTATCCTCCCAGGAGCATATCCTCTTTTCATAGCCCAGTGAATACAATCAGTGCTGTGCATATGTGCATGGGTGTAGGGTCACTCACTGGAGCATGGGCAACCTGGCATGGACCAGTTCTCTGAAGGAAACTGACTCTCCCTATCTTAGCAGCCTTCAATTGCCAAAACTCCTCAGCTGTAAGGTGGATTTTGTGAGTCCTTCTCCAATCCCCATGGGAAGTTTGACTTGTTTGAGCCTGTGCACGCCTTGTGCAGACAACTGCAGCCACTGTGAGTTCTGGCTACGGTTCTGATGTAGCCAGAACTCGGTTTTGCAGCAGCCAACCCCCAGGCTCCCTTGACTAGTATTGGAGATTTTAAATTGCAGGCAAGAATGAGAGACAATAACACAGTGTCACCGTTCTTGTACGTGTGTGTGTGTGTGTGTGTGTGTGTGTGTGTGTGTTAGCTTGGGTACGCATTTCCCCTAAAAGGCTCATATATTGAATGTTTGGTTCCTAGCTATAGATGGTTGGGTTATTCAAAGGTGATTGGATCAGGAGAGATCAATCTGTTGATGAGTTGAAAACTCAATGGGCTATTAGAAAGTGGGGCTTAATTGGACACTTGAAGGGCTTGTGGCTTTGAAGGGTGTGCTTGGCTTTGTCCTTCATCCCTTTCTCTTTTCTGGTTACCTGAAAGGTGTCATGAATAAACCGTTTTCTCGGCACTAGGCCACATCAATAAGGCCAATAGGTTATGAACAAAAACTTCAGAAACTAAAAGCCAAATCAAAGCTTTCTTTCTTTAAATTGTTTTCGTGGGTGTTTTTATCAGAACAACGAACAAGTGACTAACAGCATGTCAGCTCTGTTGACAAGGAGACAAAGCCTGAGTAGTTAACAACACAACCCTGGATTCACAGGAGTTTTAACTATTGGTTCTAGTTTGTTTTGGTGATTAAACTTTTTTTTTTTCTTTTATGGTTTTATAAAAATATCAGTGGTTGCTATACAGATCTGACTTCGAAGTTACAGGGTGGCACATTGTTTCCTTGCTTATTAAAGTAGAATCTGAGAGAAAATGATCACACTGCATTTCATATGAGGATCCACCTAGCTTCACCGCCCCAACACACACCCCAACCTCTGCCAGTGCCAAGTAAGCTTATTGGAAGGAAGTGCAAGTGACAAAGTAGTTATTTGATGACATCAAGTGACAGACAATTTTAAAGCAATAAAACTACTTTATGACCTATAAATGCATCTTCAACAATCATAAATGTTTGCTTGGCAGTGACTGGCAGCGCTGAAGGCTTTTCCAGCTCCATAATGGCTGCAATTGTCTCTTTCCTGGCGACTGCCTGGTCTCTCTGGACTTGGCTCCATTCCCGATGTATAAGGACTTCTTAGTTAATTGTTAGATGAATGTGTGGCTTCCAGGATAAAAATACAAGACAATGGTAGAGTGATTAATAGGATGAAGGATGATGTAATGAGGTAGGCAAGTCTTGACCAACAAAGTTTCAAAAATGTAAAATTGGTGCTCAGTATCTGCAGCATATCTAGGCTTGGGAACTAAATTAGATGGAGGAGGAGTGTGGAGAGATTGCAAGTGTCCACTGTATTCACTCCATCCAGCTTAAGAATCCCAGGTAAAAATAAGACCTCTAGATGTGCTATGTCTATTTGCTCAAATGAGCTAACTTCTTTTTGAAGGTTTCAAAGGAACTTTATTTTTTTTTTCAATATGTCATTTTTTAATGAATATATGATTCTTTGACTTGGCATCACTTATAAGTTGATTTTGAAACATTTCCTTGACTATTGTACCAGATGGCACAACTACTGATCTCTCCGTTCCTTTGGGGTGACTCTGCCAACAAGGGACAGGCTCCATTCTATTGTAATTTTTGTGGTTGTTTATGATCATGTAGAAACACAGAAGATGGCTCCCCCAGTTAATATAGCATTTCCATATTTGTCATGGAAATCAGGTGTCCTCTTCTGGTGGCTCTGCCTTGCCACCACTTGCTGAATGTTTCTAGCAGGGAGACAGCTTAGTGTGTTTTCGACCAAGGGCAACATTACAAGGAAGAAGATGGAACTGTGATGACTACAACTGCTTCCTCTGTGCAGATTCACTCCAGATGCCCTTGCAAAGAGTTCTGAAAAACCATGGGCTAACTTTCAGTTCCCCCAAGAAAGTATTTGTATTGGTTTGATTGGTGAGGAATAAAAGTTTGTGTCTTCTTCATCTACAAAGATCTCCAGAGTTAACTCACTATCATATGGGTAATGAAAAATAAAGCAAACAAATTCTTGTGATAAACTAGGATTTGGAGAGTGAAAGGAAACATTTGGGACACCTTTAAAGGAAAACTGAAAGCCTGGAAGCTTTTAGAAATAAACTTGAAACAGCGGGAAAACTCTCTACAGAAAGGAGAAGAACAGTGAAGAGATGAGAAAAAGGTAGCCTAGCATTGTAGCTGTTGGGGTCATGGAAAGAGTAGACAAGCCCAAAATACCATAAAGAGAAAATCTACAGGAGACTGCAGTGCTGGGATAATTTCATTAGCAGCATCCAATACACAAAACCAGAGAGATACACACATGGCAGCTGTGCTGTGAAGGGGTTCTGGAGACCGGAAGGGGCAGGGAGAATAGTAGGCAACTTTCTGAGGAAGACTGTAACGGAATCACCAATCTCAAATTATCTTTTAACAAAGACAGATCAGATGTGCCAGATCAGTTGCCTGCAAATGCTGGGAGCGTTCTCTATGTAATTGAAAAACCAGATGAAGATAAATAACTTGGCTTGCTACCATCTATCCTGCATTTTGATTTTCATGAGAAATGCTTTTGTTCCACCTGTCCTTAAATTTACTGACTAGAATGACATCTGTTTGCTGCAAGTAGCTTCTACTGGACAGGTTCCGTACAAACCAAGTTAGACATATGTGAGAAGACCATGAACCCACCAATGAATTGATACTGCAGTGCCCCAAAGCTCTGCTTCTTCTGGTGTGTGTGTCTTTCTTCCCTACCTTCCATAATCCTAGCTGCAGACTATGTGCCCATGTGCACTGCCATTGACCTTTTGAACGTCACAGTCTCTCTGTACAGGTCTATGTACTTGATCCCTATTGCATGTCTGTCTTATGTCATTGTTTCTCCAGATGCTGATGTTTAATGATGATTTTGATTCTTCTGCTGCTATCATCATCTCCCTCCTTCCTCCTTATTCTCCCCTCCCTCTTCTTTCTCATTTTCTTCTCCTCCTGCTCCTCCTACTCCTGTCTCCCTTCCCTTCTTCCTTCTCCCTCCTCCTCTTTCTCTTCCTCCTTATTCTCATCCTACTCTTCTTCCTTCTCCTCCTATCCTTTCTCTCTCCTCTTTCCCCCAGTCCTTCCTTGTCTTGTGTTCTCAGCATCTCTCAGATCCCCCAGGTCCTGTTCTGTTAATGACTTATCAAGAGACATTTAAAGGAACTCAGGAGTGAAATTGTGGAGTCACTGGCATAAATACGCAGGCTGCCATAAACAATCCACTATGCTGTGCAATTGTCAAAGCATCTCCCAACAATGACTGAGAAGAGCCCCTTGGGGATCCAGGAGTTACAGACCAGCAAGCTTCATTCTTTGTGGGTTCAGCTGGTGGAATTTGTGACAAAAGATCATTCTACTGATCACTAAGCTCATGCTGCTGAGGCTTTCCCAAAGAGGATTTAGAGTGGCAGAGTATGTTGAACAGGTGTACCCTGGGAGTTGAGGGGTACTTTGAAGTCTGCTGAAACAATAGATTTACACTTATATTTTATCTGCTACTTCCGGTGACCCTTAAAGCCTACTCTATAATAATATTTGTTTTAGGAGATTATGTTGCAGATTTATGTCTCATGTGTTTATGTTTTGGATTCTGATTTCCAAAAATGCAGTGCGACACATTCCAAAAATCAAGCCCAGATAAAGGGAAAAAAATTAGAAGTTCAGTAGCCTGGAGTCCCAGGTCAGTTAGAAGTAATAGGAGAGGAACGTGGTCTGTAAAAATTCTACCCTTGCTTCTCTCTCAAGTTGAGTTGGGCAGGGATTCCTGATGACCATCTCTGCCCAGCCTAGGACAGCTGGCATTGGATGGTTGCATCAAACAATAGAAAGGTCTGCGGTGGGTGTAGGCAGGTGATCCACAGCACAGCTGGTGGTTGCTCTCTCTCGGCATTCTCTCCCCACCCTGCTCTCTTGTAAACGGGCACACTCGGGGCAAAGCCAGAGAGGACACCGGATCTTATTTCTACTTTTTTTTTCCTTCTGGTTTGTACCTAGTATTTTCATTTTTAAAAGTTATTTTATTAGCATACATATAATTAGGCTTTACATGGCAGTTGTCAAATAAAAAGTCAAAAAGGCAGAATTTATAGAAGATAGCAAAAGCATTGAAGAGAGATAAGAATAAGATTTAAAAACTTTTTTTTCCAGCTGGTATTTTATTTCTTCAAATGTAGTGGAATTGGCATCTCAGGAAGATAAAGTATCTTCATCCTACAAATTCATGTCTTGTTTGTGTCACTAAAATGTACATCAGTGTATATTGACCACATACTTGTGCTTGAAAGTACATTTGTAGAGAGCTGTGGGCCACAATGTTTAAACAAACATTCAAAGAAGTAAAAAAACAAAACAAAAAAATGTATTTTTTAAAAATTTTCCAGACGTATCAGTTTCACCTTGTACTCTTACACACATACACATGTATACTCAGTCACACACACACACACACACACACACACACACACACACACACTCACACAAATATAGCTTCCTATTTTTGTTATGGTCCCCTACTTATTACTAGTGAGTTCATATAGAATAAGAAATGAAGATGTCAAATGAAAACATAAGAGCACAAAACAATATCTTAAGTGTTTGACAGGGTTTATCCTCAAGAAAGCTGTGTGTATACAGTTCTTAACGGAGCAATAATCCTGCTCATTCACTGAAGGCCGTCTTGTCACCAAACTTCTGAGCAATTGTGCTTAAGGGGTTGGTCAGACTAATGTCATGTAGTGAAAACTCTGATCTTGATAAACAAAGCTCAGAGCAAGGTGAGAACTAAAATTATCATGATACAGAGATCCTTAGTCTCCCTGTCTGTATTATCCCAATAAATCCAAGAATGTTGCAATCCTTGGCAACATCAAGGGTACCAGAGGGCCCAGGGCAAGGGGAGAAATAGAAACAGTGGCAATGTTTCTTTAACCCAAGTGAAGTATGATGACAGAACTAAGCTGATATTTTACTAACGTTGATTTATTAAGGCCAATAATTATTAAAAAGTTCATATGAATTTGTTCACAAGTCTCAAAATGCCAAACTTGGCGGGATCCCCTGAGGTAGAAAAAGATGGATTTATGTCTGGCTCATGTAGGCATTAATTTTCTGTGTCTACTTGGGTTGACTGTAAGAACCAGTTGCTTGCCAAAACAGTCTAGTTGTCACCGTGAAGATATTTGACTTTAAGATATGCCACCCTTACATTAATTATGTGAGTGAGTCTCATAAGGTAAGGCTTTAAGAGCCAAGATGTTTTGCTCATAAGAAAGAATTTTGCTGCAGAACTTGTGTAGAAACACTGCCAGAATTCTCAGTGTTTCCTGGCCTACCTTAAAAATTTGAACTCGTCATTACCCACCACTGCATAGTCCAAGTCATTAAAATAAACGCCTTCTTAAAAAAAGATATCTATCTCCTATTTATTTATTGTGGAGAATTCTGACATATAGGTTCAAAATCAGAAAACATTAAAAAAAATAAAACCACCAGTTATTTAAATACTGTAAGGATAAGAGAAATTTTGCAACCTATTCAAACTCTATCATTTTTTTTTCTATGTACATCATGGCATTTAGGACAAAGAGAGAAATTGAAATATATATATAAGCTGGAGGAAGTATGAGGACTAAGCTTGAATTTCATCATGTCCATAGTCAAACCAATGAAATGAGCCAGGGGATTTGCACCACAGCAATTTGAGTGGCTTCCTCTCCATCATCATATTTTTCCTCCTTTGCCATATGATCATGACAACCTCACATGAACTTACCACAGCAGTTACAGTCATTGCCTTCCCTGTAAGGGGTGCCTGAGGATCTACTTTTAAAGACCATTTTAAAGGTTATTCTTTTTAACGTTAATTTTGTCTTTCAGATTACTAGTTACACTGACCACTTCTCCCCTGTTATGAAATTTGGTCTTACCAGAATGCTTTTGCAATTGTGCACCCTGGAGTGCTTTTTCTTTTCTTTTCTTTCTTTTTTTTTCCTTTTAGCCATGGAGATGCTCATTTAATCCTGAGAGGCATCAGGGTCACTTCATTAGGGAAGCAGCCCCTGACTTTCACAAGGTCAGACTCCATCATTAATATGCATTCACAATGTGATACAGAATCCATTTGTAGCCATTATCACAATTCAAATTTTATGGCTTCCGGTATATTATAAATGCTGTCCTAACGTCCGTACCCTGGATCACAGACTATCGAGAGTATGATTGCTTTATTTTTTATTCACAGCATGTGACAGGTAGCCACTCAATACAGCTTTGATGAGGGGTAGATTGATAATCACAGCGTAGAGTGAGGGAAGCTAGGGTTATGAAGGTTATGTCTTAAATAGCTAAGTTTAGCAAAATACACCCTGCTGTATTGAGAAAAAGATACACTTCTGATTCCATTTGAGGCAGGAAGTCACACACTGAAGTTTCAAACAGATAGGATGCCCCATCTCTTGGTCCACTTCTATTGCTCTTTCCTGTGAGGAGGGAGCTTGGCTTCAGCCGTTGCTCGGTGGAACAGATTCATATATTTGTTACGAAGTTTAGCTTAGCAATCAGTAGGGAAAGGAAGAAGGAACTTCAATCAATTAGAAAGTTGCTGATTCACAAACTGTAAGAGTTTAATGGAGAATCTGGCCAGTACATGAGATGTTACTAAGTGCGTGACAATGGCATGCTGGGTGAATTAGCTGACTGAGTTAGACTGAGAAATCAGGAGGAAAAGAGTATTTGTCAGGCAGGGAAAAATATGAGAAGGTG